GGATTTCCCATGTTACTCCAATATACTCTGGACAAACATGTATGGAAGGTATCTATCGATTGGATGTGGCTGGAAATGGTCTCTGCAAATACATGCATAACTTGCTGCTGAACAGCTCGAACAATCTATATCTTCTTAGCACCTTGAACAAAAAGATGGTAACACAACTTAAGAAAAACTACTGCTATGTGTCTATGGACTACAAAAGGGATCTCCAAGAGAAAACTTGCCATGAACCTGTGAGCATTGAGACCCCTGATGGGCACTTGTTAACTTTAGACAAAGAACGCTTTTGCTGCCCAGAGCCATTGTTCAAGCCCGATCTGCTCAACCAGAGCTCTCCAGGACTTCATCATTTGGTCTTCCAAAGTCTGCAGAAGGTTCCAGTTAAGTTCAAAGGAGAAGTCATTAAAAATATTGTGTTGTCAGGAGGTTCTTCATTGTTTCCTGGTTTTCCAGAGAGGATGTGCTTGGAATTGAATGCTTTATTCCATGGTAGAGAGTACTTTATTAAAATTCTGGCTTCCCCCAAAAGAGGTACAGCAGTTTGGCTTGGGGGTTCCTTGGCAGCCTCACTCAGCTCTTTCCAAAGCTTGTGGATGAGAAAACAAGACTATCAAGAGCATGGAGCAGCATATGTGCACAAGAAATTTAAGTAGGTTAAGATATGTTTCAATGACATTCAGACTATCATCCTAGTCATTAGAATAGAGCTATAAAGCAAGACATTAATGGGGAAGAGAATAAGAACACAGTTTGCTCTCTATTTGTGACTGTATTTTCTATCCAACCAAAATTTTAATGATTTCAGTTCTAAATATTAATATGAGCAGAGAGAAATCTATGGACAAAATAACTTCTATGCTGTCAATATTCAGAGAAGTATAATTTATTGCAATATTATTGTGTTAATACATTATGCAGTAGGTTGAAAAAGAAGTATCCAGCAAGAAACAAACTATTAACCCCAAAGCTACCTGAATATATTACTCTTTCATAATAGCAAGGAAATTCCTTGCAGGAGAAAATCCTTAGTTCCCTTCATACTTGAATGGAGGCTCCTCCAATACAAAAAAGTGTAAATATTAAATATTAAATATATAAATTTATAGCACATTCTCATTATTTCAAGAAAAATAATCAGTACAATTATGTGAAATCACACATTGGTATAGAATTAATGTAAATTAACATAGGATATAGATTTAGCTTCATTTAAATATTTTTTATTATATGCTAGTTTAAGTTCCAGAGCAGCAATATTCGGCTACTGCAATACAGATATGTTGGATTACAATTCTCACAATATGTAGCTATGCTTTAGGCCACTGAGTTTGAAAAACAATGTTTTAGTCTTTAGTCTTTCTGATTCATTCTATTTACAGTATATTCCAAAGTTTGCTTTTCAGAATAATGGGATATTCTCATACATGTAATCAGGTCAAACAAATGATTATCCTACTCAAATAGGAAGATCATTACTCAGATATGACTTTTGTGTCATGCCTATTTTATAGAAGAATTTCATCAGAAGAAACATCAAGAATCTGTTATTCTTTCATTTTCAATATATTTTGAGACTATCTGAAACAGTATTATTGGGTTTGGAATTGTTTTATCTTCCATTTCAGTTGATATGTGATCCAGAGAATTAGGAGGAATGTTAAACATTTGAGATAATCAGAACAGATAATCTTCCATCAAAGTTTGATTACATATCATTGTCATTTTTGGAGTAGAATACAAATGTTATTTAATTGGTCTTTTTAAGCAGGCCCACCAATTTCCTTTTCAATTCCCAGAAGCAACTCTGATAGACAGCTTCTGAACTTACTATATGTTATTTTGGGGTTTGGGGGGATGGAGCTGGCTTTGGTTTAAAAAGCAAAATAGGTACTTTTAAATGTTGCCATTTGAAGATGCTTGGGAAAATAGAAACCTAGAAAATTGAGATCTTGGCCCCTTTGGAAACACAACCTTCAGCTTGCTGTGTAAAACCTAGTGTGATTCATTACCAACAAATGCAATGTATGTAATTATGAACATTTTTCCTACCCCATTTACCAAATAAAACTGCTGTTGGCATCTTTGTTCTTTTTTCATTATGAATGGTTTTTCTTTTTGTGGTCAAGGACTGCATCTGGTCTTTGAATTGTGTGTCAATGTCTGCAGCACAAAATATGGCAAGGCCCAAGAAAAAAAATGTGTAGGACCAAAACCTAAAACTGATTTAATTTAAATAAAATCTGTATATCTGATAACTGTCCATGTAATTGCTATTCATTTATGTAACAATTTCATTTTCCCATTATATTATAAATTATGACTCAGTAGCAACATTTAGAGGAATTATGGAATTTATACCAACAGGTTTGGAAACCATATAGAGCTCTGAATTCATAGGTGGTACATTCCTGTTCCAGGTCCATCTGAAAGATCAAATTTATGGCAAGCTAACATTCTACAATAACTCTCCATTTGGATTCCACAACTATACAGTATGTGTTATTGCTGTCTTATTGAGCCCACATTATTTTTTTTCATTGAATAGAAACTATCTGGAATCCACACATCTATCCTTTTCTATCAGTAGTAACCCTCTACAACTCAGTATTCTGAAAGCCATTCTCTTTCTTCTGCTGTCCAATTCATGTTTTCTGAAATAAGCCTATACCTTAGTAGTTGTGCTTAGGAGTACAAAAAGGAACCTGGGCCTTAAGTGTATGAGAGCAATTTGAAATAGAAAATTGATCCATTTTATATACTTATAAAATTTTGGATATTCTAAATGACCCAAAGGTGCTTATCTAATTGCCTCTGTGAAGCCTTGTCCCAGGTTGGAACAAATTAAATGAATTTTTCCCTCAATTGATCTCTGGAATACACATTCCCATGAGCACAATAAAGGCTTGGAATGTCCATTACATTGCACCAAGTATATTCAAAAGTAGGTAAAGGAAGCTAATTAAAGCCATCCATAAGAATAATATTGGAAAGAAACTCACACTTACCAATTTGGTTTTATCCATAGCTGATAAGACAGCCGTGTTGAGTTGCTCCAGAGCAGATAAAACATGTCTGTATTCTCCAAGATGTTCTGAGAAATAATCTGCAGCAGAAAGGAGGAAAATGCTTTTGTTACTGCACTCTGCCACACAACCACCCATTCCATTTGCAAGTCCTTCTCAAAATATTTTAAATACAACCTACAATTTTTCTACTCCATCCTCCCAGCTCAGGAAAATTTGGAGCTTTCAGGGAGCACTTTCAGGCAATCACTACAATACTGAATTAAGCCAATAGCTGAGCACTGAGCAATGACAGCCAAGGCTCCAGCTTCTTGCTGACTTTATTTCCCTCTTGTGAGATTTTCCCAAGGTCCCATGAATTAACAAACAACCCCTCTCTCATCATGAAAAAAGAAGCAAGAAGTTTTCTCTTCAGCATAGCACAAATCTAGCACACTCTGTGAAGTATGTTTGCTAGTACTACAGAAGCATTCAAAGGCTTCTTTTTTTAAGCTGGGCTGAGTGAAACACAGCGAGGAGGCAAACAGTCTGTAGTTCATCCTGTGAGAAAGCAGAATCTGACTAACACAGGGTGAACCTGGTTAGAAAAAAAGTTTCATCAGGAATTAAAGCACCAAGGGGAAAAAAAATCTCTGGTTTTCACAGCATGGTAAGAGGGAGAGTGTTTCAGATTTTGCAGGGCATTACCCTGGTTGGCTGTCAATAGTTTACAACCGTCAGAGCCTGTATAATAAAATGGTCATGCAGAAAGGCTCATTAATTAAAAAACAACATGCCATTTTATCCTCATGGTTTTAAAGCAATATGACCACAATTGAGCCCCAAATTTCTATTGTTAAGCCAGACATTTGTTAAGTGAGTTTTGCCCTATTTTATGACCTTCCTTGTCACAGTTGTTAAGTGAATTATTGCAGTTAAGTTAATAATATAGTTCTTAAGTGAATCTGGCTTCCCCATTGACTTTGCTTGTCAGAAGATCACAAAAGGTGATCACATGATCCCGTCATGAATAGGAACCAGTTGCCAAGCATCTGAATTTTGATCACTGATCATGAGGATGCTGCAAAGTCATAAGTGTGAAAAATGATCATAATTTACTTTTTTTCATATAGTTGTAACTTCAAACAGTCAGTAAATGAACTGTTGTAAGTAGAGGACTACCTGTATTGCATACCTGGGCATTTTATGGCCCACAGACCACATCCTTCAGCTATGCCCCTCTGGCCCACAGTGTTAGCGTTGTTGTTGGCAGGGGGTGGGATGTTGGGGGCAGGGCTATGGCAGCAGCCCTCCATAATAGTCCCAGTTTCTCACGTGGCTCCTTGGGAGGATTAATTGCCCACCCTTATTATTTATTATCTGTTAGGTAATAGATAATGCTCCATTGTCATATAATCTGTGTTTCAAGATCACAATCAATTTCTGTGGCATTAGAGAATAGAACAGGGCAGGTTCATAAATATGGCACTTTTTGAATGTGTCACAACTGAAACTCCTAAAATAACTTTGGCCAATGTGTTGGAAATTTTGGCACAAATGGTCCAAGCATATCTCTAGGGCACCATACTGGAGGAAAGAACAAGCTTTTTGTCCAATGCAGAGAAGAGAAATAGATCGCATCTAAGAAGGGCAAAAAATCCCACCCCCAGATATATTAAGGAAAGTTGGGAAGTATATATTCCACAGCAAGAGTACCCATTGAGTACTTACCACACAACTTCTCCGTCTCTAAATTGCTGTAGAAACACACATAAAAAAGAAAAAAAATTGTATGAGATGATTAATAAGAGCTTGAGGGAAATAGTTTCTGAAAGAAGCAAAATGGAAACTGTCAATTAAGGTTGCTGACTTACCTTCATTTCAAGATTATAGAAACAGCATTATTTGAGGTCTTTCAAAATATGTCGTATGGTAGACTTAAGTATTTTTCTGTTTAAATCTATAAAATTTTGCAATATATAATTTTAAACATCGGTCTTATGGAGGTGCTATTCAGACAATGTATGTTGCAATTACTATACTGTACTACAAAATAGGGTAAGTCTGAATGGGCCCTGGGGAAGCCCTGAAGTTATGGCACCTCTGATTCAACATTGTCTCTGGCAATTAGAGTTGTGGTCTAGAGTTCAGAGAAGAGAAGGGACAGGGGAACACATGGGCAGAAGTCCTGCTTCTAGAAGGGAAGTGGACGCTTAAAAAATGTGTGTATGTGTGTGAGAGAGAGGGGAGAGAGAGAGAGAGAGAGAGAGAGAGAGAGAGAGAGAGAGAGAGAGAGAGAGAGAGAGAGAGAGAGAAGAAGAAGAAGAAGAAGAAGAAGAAGAAGAAGAAGAAGAAGAAGAAGAAGAAGAAGAAGAAGAAGAAGAAGAAGAAGAAGAAGAAGAAGAAGAAGAAGAAGAAGAAGAAGAAGAAGAAGAAGAAGAAGAAGAAGAAGAAGAAGAAGAAGAAGAAGAAGAAGAAGGGGAGCATCTGCAGGTATTGCTTGGCACACAGACTGTAGGCCATCATGCTCTCCATCACCAGTTCTACCTCTGTGTAAATAAGATGGGATCAGTAGATAGAGGGGAGATAGGAAGGAAGCAGAACAAATGAGGCTGATTGTCATGTTGAAATTCCCTTTTCTAAACACATAGGACAGTTTTTTCTCAGCCTTCTCATGATAGGAAAACTGCCTGTAAAACACATGCTCTATTAAAGTACTTCTCCTATGAACCTTGCTGCTGCTGCTGCTGCTGCTGCTACTGCTGCTGCTGATGATGATGATAAAGTTGAAAGGGACCTTGGAGGTCATCTAGTCCAACCCCCTGCTCAGGCAGGAAACCCTATACCATTTCAGACAAATGGCTGTCCAGTCTCTTCTTAAAAACTTCCAGTGTTGGAGCATTCACAGCTTCTGGAGGCAGGTTGTTCCACTGATTAATTGTTCTAACTGTCAGAAAATTTCTCCTTAGTTGCTTCTCTCCTTGAATAGTTTCTATCCATTGCTTCTTGTCCTGCCTTCAGATGCTTTGGAGAATAGCTTGACTCCCTGTTCTTTGTGGCAACCTCTGAGATATTGGAACATTGCTATCATGTCACCCCTCATCCTTCTCTTCATTAAACTAGACATACCCAATTCCAGCAACCGTTCCTTATATGTTTTAGCCTCCAGTCCACTAATCATCTTTGTTGCTCTTCTCTGTACTCTTTCTAAAAATTCAACATCTTTTTTACATTGTAGTGACCAAAACTGGATGCAGTATTCCAAGTGTGGCCTTACCAAGGCATTGTAGAGTGGTATTAATACTTCACGTGATCTTGATTCTATCCCTCTGTTAATGCAGCCTAGCACTGTGTTGGCTTTTTTGGCAGCTGCAGCACACTGCTGGCTCATATTTAGGTGATTGTCCACTAGGACTCCGAGGTCCCTCTCACAGTTACTACTATTGAGCAAGGTACCCCCTATACTATACCTGTACATTTGGTGTTTCTTGCCTAAATGTAGAACCTTACTTTTTTCACCATTGAATTTCATTTTGTTAGATAGCGCCCAGTGTTCAAGTCTGTCCAGATCCTCCTGTATCCTAAGCCTGTCTTCTGGAATGTTGGCTATTCCTGCCAGCTTGGTGTCATCTGCAAATTTGATGAGTTCCCCATCTATCCCCTCGTCCAGATCGTTGATGAAGATGTTGAAGAGCACTTTTTCTCTCTTTCTTTCTTTCTTTCTTTTTTCTTTTCTTTTTTTTTGGCAGGTGAGTGAGATAAGGTACCCCCTATACTATACCTGTGCATTTGGTTTTTCTTGCCTAAATGTAGAACCTTTAGGAAATATCTACTCAAAAGAAAGCCCATTGAGTTCTCTGAGATGGTTTTTTTGGGGGGGGGCTAGATAAGTAAATAGAGGATTCCGTACAGTACTCTCTTTTTCTCATTCTGCATACTGTTCTCTTATAGGAGACAATTATTTTCTAAGTTTTCAGTGGCCACATTGTAAGTTTCCCACAGTGTCACTTTTGGCTTTCTGTTACAGTAATAACCCTGTGCCATCTGTTTCACTGAAAATAGACGCTTCTCATAGACCAATATTTTTTTAAAAAAATAGTGAGAAAGAATATTAAAGAAGAATTATATTTCAGTGCAAAAGCAATCACAAACAACGGAGGAGCCAAGATGGCGACTACTTCTGGCTCAACCCAACACCCTCCAAATACATTCAAGGACAAGAAAAGAACCCACATAGCCCCTGCAACATTACTGGAATCTACCCTGAAATCTAACAAGGCATAAAAACAGATGGAGATCAACTCTTACTTTCCCACCATAGAGGAACTAAAAATGTGAGCAATGGATCTACACCCCCAGGAACCTTTTACCCCCAAAGACTATAATAGTGCAGCACCCATTTACTTCCTCAGCTCTCCAAAGACTCTGCCCAAATCATCCCTGGAACAGTGAGAAAACCTCCTGGAACAAGCTCCTGGTGCCCCCCCCCCAAATAACAACTGTATCGCTAATCCTTCCAAAGAGGCTTGCCTTCTGCCTGCAGAAAGATTAATTTTTATATTACAATAATTAAATGAAATTGTACCCAAGTTAGACAGCCTCCAGCAAACCTTGGATCTACAAATTCCCCAAAGCAATCTAGGAATTAATATGACAGCAGAAGTCAGCCATGTCAACCCTCCATGAGCCAATGTCTCCAGGTATCT